CTGCATGCTACCTGTCTCATGCTTGGTTTATCCTTCCACTCTGAAGATGGAGCTGGCACGTTCCTCCGAAATATTGGTATACTTTCAAACATGGTACACGGTGTTATGTCGCAGAAGATCTCCACTGCGAGAACCTCAGATCATAAACATCAGTTCCTTAACGTAATTGTGTTATATATATATGCGAGCCAAGCCAAACAGATCCACCGTTGTGCTTCTTTTTGCGTCGACTTGCTCATAGCAATTATTAAAACTGCTTTTATAAAAATACTCTGACTGGTAAGCGTCTAAACCATCAAAGGTAATCTTGTGCTTAAAATATGTAGTTTTGTGTGGTTAAATTGCTGTGTATTATCTTATAGTGCTAAACACTACATATCTGTGCTCTATTACCCAGGTTCATCATCCTCACCAAATGTGTACATTTATTGAAATTAAACGGCACCCCAACAGAAGTAACAGAAATCAGCAAACCAGCCTGTCTCACTGTCTTCCAGCAGAGTTCACCTTGATTTCAAGTGTAAATATATTTTGAAAATATATGATAATATTGTGTAATGGAACACAGATATTTAGTAGATAATTTAACTACAAGACAGAGTGATTTAGACATGTATCAGTCAGAATATCTTATACAATTTCTTTATTAAGACTGTCACAACACATCTATATTAAGCTCAGTGCCTAGTTTGGCTCTGCTACATGTTTCGGCTATTAAAAGCCATCATCAGGCAAATACATTGCTAATATATATACACCACTGAACTGCAGTACTAGTAAAATTGAATACAATATATAATTAATAATTATAATTAATATAATTAATATTGTATCCAATTTTACTAGTACCGCAGTTCAGTGGTGTATATATGTTAGCAATGTATTTGCCTGATGATGGCTTTTAATAGCCGAAACATATAGCGGAACCAAACTAGGCACTGACCTTAATATTGTTGTGTTGTGAAGGTTTTAATAAAGAAATTGTATATTATAACACAACAGGATGCATGAAATGAAAAGAATATATTGTCACTCTTCAGCATGTGATATAAATCCATTAGTTTAATGTTACAGACACCATACCTGTGGATCCGTATAGCTTGCATGTTATGTAGTAATGTAACTAATATTTAAATCTTAGTTTTACGACCTGAAGATAGCACACACATGCCGAAACATGTCATAAATAAAAAACATACATTGTATGAAGTTGTGTTCACAAAAAAAAAAAGCACAATAATGAACTTCTACCGACATTCCTTTTTGATCGAGATGAAATGTTGCGGCTGTGAGCTGTCTATGGCTGAGGTATCTTTAACATACACACGCTAACACTAAGGCTACTCAGCTTAACTAAATCAAATCGTCAATATCCAATTCAGTTCCTATTTAAGTCATGTTTTTACTAATAACATCTACTGTACATGCGAATATTACTAACCACCCTGTGTATATTGCATCAAATGTTACATTAAGCAAAACATATATATACTGGAACAGAAAATCTTAATACTAAACATACTGTACTTCATCTGTGTACACAACAGAGACCCGCATGCTACAAACTTACTTCTCTATAAGTTTACAAACACTTCTTAATTAGTTCAGATTAAAGTTTAGGTTACTTCCCATTGGCATTAAGCTGACAATATAACATGCAAATTAGTAATTTAATTTCCTTCCCAGTAACTGATTTTAATGCAAAAAGCACAATGAGTACACATACAAAAACTTAAAAATATATATTCTTACACAGTCTAATACACAAAAACACTTCTGAATGCGACAGAATCAAGCTCTCTCGTATCAAACAAAGGTACCCACATTCCATCCTGCTCACCTCAGTGGCGTGGTTCCCATTTTGAACAAAAGATGGCTACAAACGACTCACCGGACAGACGAATATTTAGGTAACGGAAACAGTTTGATGATTTCCTGAATTCCGAAGTTCAACCAAATTCAAGTCCAAAGATCGACGGCTAGTCAGGCTGGAAGGAAGATTTCAACGAACTTATGCGCGTCCAAGAAGTGCTTCGTACTAGGATTCTGCCCTCACTAAACCGGCTTCACTCTATGACCATGACACAGCCCTTCTCTCTCTCACACACACGCACATAAATACTTCTCCCCACCTCGGCCTTACTGACTGCCTGCCTGGAAGACCTACTAATGTACCCCAACCAAACCCGAGGATGCTCAACCCCACAAACCTACCATGGTGTTCTACCTCTCTCACACCCTCTGCCGCGAAGCATAAAGCCTCTTCAAATGTTTTTGCAGATACTAAATTTCGCGCCCGGTGTTATATACAAACATTTTCCTAATATCTATAAATAAAAATTTCTCAACTAAATTGAACGCTTGTTTGGAGGGGGGAAATGCTGAAATGAGAGCAGTTACAAGATTAGGCCATGTAGTTATATATTCAGTACAAAACTTGGGAAGTTGAACGCAACATAGGCCAAACTTTGCATGCGTGGGGTGGGTCAGGGAAGGCTAACCCAGCTCTCAGAGTAGGCCCCATTTCACCATCGCCATGTTTCAACCCCCCACTCGCAATTCATGCATGACAAAGCCTTTTATCCACAATATAAATGTTGCCAACCTTTGAGGAACATAACTGTTCTCATTCAGAAACATATTTTCAGAGATCGTTCTTAAAGATGTCATTTCTTTTCCTGGTTACACTCGCTGGTACAGCCTACATTCGTAAAATGACAGTTCTTGTACAAAATGGAAGATTTTCTTAATATACACATATATCTTGTTGATTTTTAATTTGATGTCTTTGTTTCATAAGAATACAGTTTATTTTTTCGGTGATCGGCAATGAGGGCTTAAATGAAAGCCATTACACAGGTCATAAGTTGACCAACGAACATATTAATTGAAAGCACTGCTATCTTGCTTGTGACTGTTTTCGGAACAGTTCGAAGGACGAGAAGGTGTATATTTTAGCATACTGACAAAATCTGACTCAAGCCCTTTTTACCACGCACTAACGACACTTTACGCCTATCGTGTCATGCCCTGAAGTGTTCCCGTATGAATCGATTTTTTTATTGCTAGTGGGGTGGGACTAAGTCCCTTGTACTGGGGCCACTTCTGGCCTATTGTACCAGCCCTAGATGATAGGTGAGGGTGGTTGTGGAGCAATTGGTGGAATGAAGATTGGCAGGGGAAACCTAAGTGCTTGGAGAAAACCTGCCCCAGCGCCACTTTGTCCACCACAAATCCCACTTGACCAGACCAGGGATCGAACCCGGGCCGCCGCGGTGGGAAGCCAGCGACTAACCGCTTGAGCTGTGGCTCGGCCTACTATGAATCCATTTATCGACTTTTATTCAATTAGCTTCCAACATTCTGCAGGTGGCGTTCAGGCGACCTGCGCTATTTCCAGTTTCATAATAGAACAGATGCCCATACACTTAATTAAGCATCATTATATAAAGGCGTATGGCGGAATGGAGGTATAGCTCCACCATACTTGATCTCTGCACTAGATGGGAGTGGTCAGCTTCACGACCCTGCCGCTTTTTTTTCTTCAACGATTCTTCCAGCCCATTCAGGGCAGTGGCCTCTTATTCAGTTCCATAATCACTTTTCACAGTACGACTCCTTGTACGAGTGATTAGCTCGTCTCAAGGCCGCTACCTAAACACAAACAGCACACACACACAGAATAAACGCAGACAGCCATGTATTGACGGGGATTCGAACCCACTATCCCAGGGTCCGAGCAAGCGAAGACAGTTGATGCCTTAGACCGCGTGGCTACTGTGACCGGCTGCCCATCCCCGCTTTACCCAATAGGAAAATGTCCACGGTGGCCATCGGACAGTAGGATAGGTCGCCCCAGAGCAGGTCTTGGCCATTATGGAGTAGAAAGGAATCTTATCTCCGCAAGGAATCGAACGCCAGCCATCCAGCCCGTCGCTAGACCCACTGAGCTATCCGCAAATTCCGTACAATTAGTAACACTGACAAGGCGCTAGATGAGTGTTCCTGACGTTGTGCTGTAATGGGTGGCAGAACAAGAGATGTGTCTTTGTCACAGCGTCCAGACCGGGTCTGGGGCCCAACCAGTCGCTTGTCCAATGGGCACCGGAGGATCTTTCGCCGGTGTAAGCCGGCCGGGTATCTCGCCTCCATCTAGCGCCTAGGTTAAGAATGGATGTAGTTACACTCATCTCCCCCATTCGTGCTACATGCCCCACTTCATTCTCCTTGACTTGATCATTCTAATTATACTTGGAGAAGAGTACAAGTTATGAAGCTCCTCATTATGCAGTTTTCTCCAACCTCCTGTAACTTAATCTCTCTTCGGTCCAAATATTCTAGAATACGCTGTGCAATTTCCCCGACAGCTTCATGTTCTACAGTTGCGTCCAATAGAAAGGCTTTTCTCTGGCACTGCCTTCATTTATCATCTAATCAAGGCTTCGTGATACAAACTGATTTGAATGAGAAGCGTATAATGGTTGTTAGTCCGCCTGATGTTTAAAAGTCGACAGACGAAATGATTAGATAAAGCGACAAGAAGATGCAAGTTATACAGCTACCAGCTATCAGATTACACCGAACTACTTCATATATTTTAAGCAATGATTCAAAAGATTTACGTGCATAAGAAAACATGCCCATCTTTTTACGTACTTAAATAAAGTCACATGTTAAAACACACGAAACAAAACTACGTACTTGATGAATCCCGCCGTACCATAACAAGGAACACACAAAGCACTGTTTCCAACACTGGACATTTCCCCAATGAATCTACTGAACTACTTTCTACCCAATCTAGCCATGTTTTAGTATGTATACAGTACAGAAATGTTATAGTGTTACATACGTTTTATTTCATGAAAGACACAGAAAAGCCTACGCCACCGGGCAGTCTGGAAGGATAAGTATCTTAAATCAGAAATGTTATTAGGTGAAATAAAAAAGGAACGTATTATTAATGGTGAATGAGGGGAACTGTTGCTCCTGTGGCCTACCTTCCAGCGACCTTTATCGGTGTATCAGTTGGCTTTGTTTGCAACGACTGTCGTGCAGACGGAGGAGGAAGAAGAGTTGCCGTTAGTCCGTGCCTCTGAACTCTTAGTGCACACCACGGCTGCACCTTCATAATTTTGTACCACGATCTGGAGTACCTGAAATGATGTCACCACGTACGTATTCCAGTCATCCTTTCCCATTCTGGGAACCTGGGTTCAATGCAAGGTTTTGTTTCATGCTAGACGAATAATGTAATGAAACACAGAACTCTGGGACAGCCTCATATGAATTGTTTGCGTTAGTACATCATGAAGGTCGTGCTACACCTCAGGTGGTTAGTCGCTGGCTTCCCACCGCGGCGGCCCAGGTTCGAGCCCAGGTCTGGTCGTGGGATTTGTGGTGGACAAAGTGGCACTGAGGCAGGTTATCTCCGAGTACTTCGGTTTCCCCTGCCAATCATTATTCCACCAGTTGCTCCACGATCGCCCTCACCTATCATCTGGGGCTGGTACAATAGGCCAGAAGTAGCCGCAGTACAAGGGACTTAGTCCCACCCCCGCTAGCAATAAAAATACATGGTATCCTAATAGAAAACGTAATGTAGAACACGTTAAAACAATTAAATGATCAAGAAAGATTAATTTGAAGTTTACTGAACTGTATTATCTAACATTTAATACCGCCATTTTTGATGTGGTGAATATGCAACTTTCTTATGTTAAGTTTGCACAAATAACATACTTACATCTATATAAAAAGAAGTTACACCTCCATAATTCAGTCCTCTGCATGTAAAAAAATAATTTTATATTCCCTGTCAGCATATTTAAGAAACTACTCCACTATTATGAGACATTTACACCTTAACCCTTTCACTGTCTTCACTAAAATACTTTACTTAAACCAACCTCTTTTTTGGGGGGCAGGTTTGGCAATTTTACGAGCACCATCAATATGGCGGGCCTGCAGGCTAGCGAGACATAACTTCCAAGCTGTCCCTTTAACAGAACGTGAAGACCCATAGGGTTGTGAGACGTCGAGGCTCCCACATTTTCTTTAGACAATCGGCTCACAGATGGCGGTGAGAGTGTCATCCTTACGCGTCGGCCGCCCTTTACCCCCTACGTATATTCCTGGTACTCATTTCTGTTAGGGTCTGAGTCGACCCCAGGGCCATAGTGCGGCTGGAAGGATTAGGTAAATTGGAAAAAATCCACTCATGGGGACTTCAACCAGCGACCTTACGGCTTTTAGCATACTGCCTCAACCAACTACGCTGCCGCGTGCCCCTTAACCATACGTTTGGAAAATACTGTTCAGTTTATCGTTATGTATAGAGAAAAATGGGTTAAATATTCATGATAAATCTATCGTCAAAAGAGTATTGTACTTGTACGCTGTCTTATCGGGCTCTATTTCCGATGGCACTAACCGTACGAAGTCACAATGTGCTCCAAGGCGATCATGTTTCCGTCGAAGCAATCCGTAGCTTACTCGTTTGGAAAACATTTTTATATTGGGTCCAATTATAATACTGCCACGTGTAAGAGTGACTATGCACGGGATCTATTTACCGCTTACAGATCATACCTACTAGAAACTATAACAGCCTCACTGGTCTACACACTCTACAGATCACTGCGAGCAGGGATAGCACAGTCGCTATAGCGACTGTCTACGGGCTGGACGACCAAGAGGCTGGAGTTTGAGTTCCGGTGGAGGCAAGAATTTTCTGTTGTCCAAGTCGTGTAGACAGGCTCTGGGGCCCACCCAGTCTCGTATCCAATGGGTACAGGAGGCTCTTTCCCCGGAGGTAAAGCGGCCGGGTCGTGAAGCTGACCAGTCACCTCCAAACAGTGCCATGGTCAAGAAAATGTGGATCTATACATCCACTCCCCCATATGTCTTCATGGCGTAGTGCTCAATTAGTTAAGCACAGGGACATATTTTTAACTTTTATAGTATCTGGTAAATTTATGATGCTTTTCATCATGCAGGCCTTATTATCTTCTTCTGGCAGCCATATTCTTTTTCTTTGGTGCAAATATTCTCCTCAGAACTTTGTCCTCGAAGTCTCAACACAAACAGAAACAGTTATCAACGTAACATGAAGTTTATCCTGACGGTCCAATTCACATTACTACTGAATACACAACAGGACGCAATCCATAAAGATTTACGAACAGAAATCCTCGTGTGTAAAGAATAACACATTACACATTTCTGTCGCCTGTACTAACCTTTCAAGTGTCAACCGAGAAAGAGAAAACACAAAGCTCCTAAGGCATCGTCTAACAGCCTCGCTACAACCCTCCAGCTCCATTGTAGCGACGTACACTGAACAAATAATAGGGTCTGATAAAATGGTTGTGACTTTTGTACCAGAAGTTTTATCTAACTTTGTTCAACAGCAACCAAATATCCTGTAGATGCCAAGAGTTTCGGAGGTGACAGGAATACAGAGAGGTCCTGGCTAACAACGGATGTTGACTGCCAAGCAGGCTCCTCGCCGCTGGGTCAACAGTCGCGGCGGTGGGACGCAATTCATGGTCTGTCAAAAACACATCAGTGTGTCTCCAGTCCAAGGTCACACGAACTCTCTGAATGTTGATCAGACATGTAAGTCATTCAGCTGAATGTCACATCTAGAGGTGACGGCTTCTGTATACACGGAACAAGACGCATCACAAAGAATCTAATCCCTAGGACTGAAACACGTTACGTCACAGGTGACCGGTGATACAGTTTGTCTCAGAAACCATTCAAACAGTTTCAAATTAAATTTCTAAGCGTTCGCCACACCTTATACATGCAACCCTACGGGGGGGGGGGCAACGGTATCTCCGGCATGGCGTACTTGGTTCATACAGTAAGCTGAAAACAATATCTTTCTCTGTAATGACAAAGTAACGAGGTACTTCTGTGGGTTACTTTTAAGACACTGACAACAGCTAGACTCTACGTATAGCGTACAAAAGTGCATATACGTGTATAAGTATGAAACAGGATTCGGAAGCAATCATTCATGGCTAAATGGAGACAAGTCTCGATTACAATGTGATGTCACATGCGCAGAAGACAATTTTACTGTATGGCGCAACGGATGAGCCCATATTCTCTTATGGTAGATAGTTCGCCTCTGCCCGCTGGTTTCTGCGCTGGAGTAACACGTCATGTTTCCCCTTCACTTCCCCCCCCCCCCTCTTTCGCGTAGGTTTGTGCCATCACATAATAATCGAGCTCTACCATCCAGCCGTTTGACAAAAAGGGGTTCAAGAGCGCTGTGATGCGTCGACCCGTTCGGTCCATACTGTCTGAGGATGAAATGCAAACTACTGTATAAGCTGATGGTAGACATACGAGCAATTCATTACTACTTCTACAAACCAGAAGCCTGTTCCAATTTGTATGTGAATATATTAAAGTTGTTAAGGCAGACTTCTATGTGATATCTACTCATTACGTCAAGCCTGTAATGCAACATCTGTCTCAAACAGTACGAGTATATACTGATGTTATAATGGTGGCACAATACAAGTATATGCAACATCAGAAACTTGGGCGAATTCATCAATCACAACACTTCAAATTTTGCTAACAAAGTCACCAGGATTTACAATATGAATATATCTGAGGGGAAGAGAAATGCAGGACAGGAAACATAACGGTGCAAATGACATGAAAACAAATACGCGTAATATGACAGAACACTGCCGAATTGACAAGCAAACATTCAGAGAAAAACTTCCCTACGCCTTCTAGTGAGTCACGTGTGCCATATATCGCTTTATTTCGTTGATCTTCCAGCATTAAGGGTTGGCAGCTCAATGGCAGGGGTTCGATCTGTGACACAAGGGATTGTACGATATCATTTATCTATATCATCAAAAAAATGGTCTGAACTCTACCCACTCATCCATCCAGCTGTAGTAATATGGAAAATATAAACTTATTCAATGAAGCAGCGGTGCCTATAACTCACTCGGATGACTAAGAAATTTTTCGCGTTTTAACAAATACAAAAAATTCATTATTTTGCTTTCACAAGAGTAAGTCACTGTCGCTGCCCTGCGCAGACGAAACCAGTCAACATCCGCCCACCCAGTTTCACTAAGCACTATTTTAATGTTATCTTCCAATTGCATCTCGACCCCTCAAGTGATATCTACATTCAGCATATTTCTCACCTCTTCCATTCATGCTACATAACCCGCCCATCTCATCCTACTTGGTAGTACGATTCGAGAAGAGTATGAGGGATCGAAACAAAATGAGCCCGACAATTTCAGCGATGTAATGTAGCAACCAGCTCCCTGGAAACAATGGATTCGTTTCGACGTCCGCAGGAGTAAGTACCACCACCCGTGCCACAAGCTGCCAGTGGTAGGTTTACACCTAAGCCATACTGATGTAAATGTAAAGAGGACCCAGCAATGCCAAGGATAAACTAAGACAGTTCTATAATTTGATGAAACTTACATGATTCAACATCAACAACAATAATAATAAGGAAGGTAAAGCTATTCCTGTAACAGGCCATCGAGGCCCATAGGGTTGTGAGACGTCGAGGCCTCCACATTTTCTAGACAATCGGCTCACAGATGGCGGTGAGGTTGTCAGCCTTACGCACCGACTGCCCTTTAACTCCAGGAAGGTTCCTGGTACTGATTTCTGTTAGAGGCTGAGCCGACCCTAGGGCCATAGTGAGGCTGGAAGTATTAGGTACATTGAAAAATCCAATGGCCTCATCGGGAATCGAACACGTAACCATCCGGCTTGTAGCACAGTGCCCCAACCAGCTACCGCATGTCCCAGTAATAATAATAATAATAATAATAATAATAATAATTACGTAAAGCTGTCCCCATGCATAATCACTTAAGCACTATGTCAAGAAGACACGGGGGAATGGAAGTATAGCTCCACCACTCTTGACATCAGCACTAGCTGAAGGTGAGTGGTTAGCTTCACGCCCATGCCGCTCTAACCCCCCCCCCCGGGGGCACCCATTGGATTGGAACCTGGGGAAGGCCCCCAGCCGGGCTGAACAGA